ATTCCGTATGATACTGCGCAACACCTCTGTTGCGAAATAGTTCCTTGAAGCGCCGTGGCGGGCGAGGGCGATCAGCGCAACACGCGCATTGGCGCCTACAAACCTAACAGGGATACTTCACGCATTGCGCAATGCGTGAAGTATCCCTGTTAGGTTTGTAGGCGCCAATGCGCGTTTAGCGCAGGCAACAGGCCGCTCTGCTGCGTTTGGCTCTAATATTTAAACTTGCGGAGTCAGCATTTTTCAACTCATGATTTTAAAATGTTTGCACACTCTGCATGGATTATTCTTATTTAAATTGATTAAAGAAAAATATGTATTACAGGAAAATATAGCGTGCGTTTTGTAGACATTAATTTGGTTCCGTGTCAAATTTAATGGTTTCCAAAGCACTAAATTTTTTTTATATATAGGTATTGTGTTTTACTGTGCTGCAGCGTTGTATATACGCGCAACCAAACGCTCAAAATTCGACGTATTTGACTCTAAAATATCTATGTGCAACCGGGGGATAAAACCAAAGATTACGCGCTTCTTGGTTATTTCCCCTCTTTCATTCCTGTTTCTAATTTTTTTTTTTTCAACAAAACTACAGCTCATTGAGATCAATATCGATGCCATCGGTTGAAAAAGGTTTTACAAATATTTGCCACGTTTCAAAAATGTATATGTTTTTGAAACAAAGCAATATTTTCATTTAATTTTTTCACGTAAATATCACCAAAACGTATCGGCTAAAAAGTTAGCCTTCTTCAGTTGGACGAAATAATAAAATAATGTAAAAATCTAGAAAAGTAGTACTTGGCAGTACCTTTAAAAGTGGGAACAATACTGGTATGCGATTTTCACTCAAGAGAGGAGAGTATCTTTTCGGGAGACAAAAGTATCCTCTCGGGAGAGAAAAGTATTCTCTCGGGAGGGATAACTATTCTCTCGGGAGGGCAAAATTTTTTCGGCGGAGAGAATACTATTTCCTCGGGTAGGAAAACTATGTCCTCGGGAAAGAAAACTATTTCCTCGGATTGAAAAACCATTTCCTCGAGAGAGAAAAAACTATTCCCTGGAGGGAGAAACCTTTTTTTTGGAGAGAACATATTGTGTTCTCGGAAGGGAAAACCATTTCCTGAGGAGAGGGAACTATTTTCTCGGGAGAGACAACTATTCTCTTAAGAGAGAAAATTATTTATTATAATTATTTATTATAATTATTTATTATAATTATTTATTATAATTATTTATTATAATTATTTTAGAGAAAGACAGATTATATTTTCCTTATATACATATTTTTCTTTCATCAATTTAAATGGGGATAAGAGTGGGCATGCAGAGTGTACAAACATTTCAAAATCATCAGCTGAAAAACGCTGACTCCGCAAGCTTAAAAATTAGAGCCAAACACAGCTGAGCGGCGCGGCGTGCTGCCAGCGCGAGAGGCTCACTGGCGCCTACAAACCTAAGTGGATACTTCACGCATTGCACAATGCTTGAAGTATCCACTTAGGTTTGTAGGCGCCAATGCGCGTTTCGAGCTGGCTGCCCGCGTAAAGCGCATTAACGCCTACAAACCTACAGAGATATTTCACGCATTGCGCGATGCATGCGGAATCCACACTGCCTATGAAATTCAGTGAAGTTTTCAAACAGATTCAGGCAATAATTTCCCTGTAAAATTAGAAAATAGCGGCGGGAATTTTTAAAAGTCTATGGCACCTGCGATACTTGGGCGGAAGGTGACAATATGTGATGATCAGGCGCGCAACTTTTTGATCTCCCAACTAGGTATGTGATGTGGTATCACGAGAAAATGGAGGGAAAATCTTCGTTTTTCCGCTTGTCTCAAATTACTGACGTTCATGAATGTAGGTATCATGCTCGCACACTTACATTCGATGATCGATCGCTTATGTATTTGGACATTTCATCAAGGATTTTTTGTCGGGAACATGTTTTTTCTAGAAGTATACGTCCACGCGTTTTTTCGACTGGGGAGTTTTCACAGTGCTCTAAGAGCAAAAAAAAAATGCGACAAAAATGAACCCAGAAGAAATATTTTTCTCTCCCAAGAGAAAAGTTTCCTTTCTCGAGAGGATAGTTGTCTCTCCCGAGAGAATAGTTGTTTCTCCCGCAAGAGAAAATCGCATACCAGTATTTTCTCGTTTTGGAAGGTACAACCAAGTAATATTTTTTTTTTAAGCGTGCCAGTAGGGCTCGCTTTTTTATTTTTATAATTGTTTGTTGTTTAATCCAACTGAGAAAGGCTGCCTTTCTAGCCGATACGTTTTGGTGATATTTACGTGAAAATTAGCCTTGTGTTCCTGTGTAATTTTTTTTATTATGGTACAAACTAAAACATAAACTAAGTTTAAATGCAAAATAAAATGCTGCGTTACAAAATTTCAGTGCTGAAACGTCCTCCTACTTTCGTCGCCACATTATTTTTAGTCCTATTTTCCTTTTTTTGTTTTTACCGAAAAAAAAACCATGGTCCCTGATACTAAATCGTAGCCATTAGGATAGTTATTTTGGTTTTTTATAGTGACCATTATAAGGGAGTCGTAGATAATGACGCATCCTCTAATTGTCGCAGCGATTTTAGCGTTCGTCCCGTCATCGAGGGTCGGCTGGGCGGTGAAGACATCTTCGCAATTTGACGCGCCTTCAATCCGGCGGAGCTGCAACATGCTCACACTCGTGGTCAAATAGTTGTATGTCACGCCTGCCATAAACGAACTCAAATACCGATGGTTCAACACGAAAAGGAGCTTATTTACCTCGATCGCAACGTTGCAAACCACAATTAATTCTTCAATTTCCATCAATATATTTTAAGAGATACGCAGAGATTTTCCTTCAAAATTTACAATAATTTCACGAACGATTTTAATTGAAATCACGGGAAATTTCGTCGCGACATTATATTTAGTCCAAGTTTCCTTTTTATTGGTTTTTCCCGAAAAATACCATGGTCCTTGATTCTAAATAGTAGCTATTAGGATTTTATTGTTTGTTTGTTACGGTGAAAATTAGCAAGGAGTCATAAATAATGACGCATCGTCTAAGTGTCGCAGCGATTTCAGCGTTCGTCCCGCCAGCGAGGGTCTGCTGGGCGGTGAACACATCTTCGCAGTTTGACGCGCCTTCAATCCGGCGGAGCTGCAACATGCTTACACCCGTGGTCGAATAGTTGTATGTCACGCCTGCCGGAAACAAACTCAATTATCGATGCTTCCACGCGAAAATAAGCTTATTTACCTTGATTGCAACGTTACAAACCACAGTTAATGCTTCAATTTCAATCAATATTTTTAAAATGATAAGCAAAGTTTTGCTGACAAAGCTTTTTTTTTTTGCTTCAAGCATTTTTCGAACGATTTTAAATGAAATCATGGGAAATTTAGTCACGACATTATATTTAGTCCTAGTTTCCTTTTTATTTGTTTTTTCCGAAAAAAAAAACCATGGTCCCTGATTCTAAATCGTAGGTGTTCGGATTGTTTTTTTTTTTTTTTGTTTGTTACGGTGAAAATTAGAAGGGAGTCATAAATATTGACCAATGTATAAAAAAGCTGATCACAATCAGCAGAAAACTTGCCTTCACTATGAACATTTCAAATTGCAGTATCTCGAAATTAGGATCAGCCATGATTATGATTTTCCACGATTTAAAGTCCATTCGTAGCATAGACTCAACCCCTGCAAACCGTTTTTGGATGCATTTTTGTATCATTGTTTTTGCTTCAAGGCCACTGAAAACTTCCCGCCGAAAAAACGAGTGTACGTAAACTATACTGAAAAAAAAACATGTTCTCGAAAAAAAATCGTTGACGAAATGTCCTATAACCTGAGCAATATTGATCTCCGAATTCAAATGCGAGCGCGATACCTGCATTCATGAACGTCAATAATTTGAGACAGGCGGGAAAACGAAGATTTTTTCCTTCGTTTTCGCGTGATACCACATCACGTACTCAGTTGTGAGATCGAAAAAATGCGCGCCTGATTATCACATATCGTCACCTTTCGGCCAAGTATCACAGGCGCCATGTGGCGTTTAAAAATTTCTGCCGTCATTTGATATTTTTACAGAGAAATTTTTGCCTGAAGCTGTTTGAAAATTTCTCCGAATTTCATCGGCAGCACAAAACAAAATCAGTAAAATTGTTTGCCCATTTTGGGCCCTAAGAGCACTCTTCCTATTAAGGTACTCTAGCGGCTAGGCGTCGCAGAGCGACAGAGAGCGCTATAAAAGCGGTTCTATATCGACGGTGTAGGTCGGCAGTCACATAACTCGTTTGCGGTGTCTAAAAATTTCCGCCTCTATGTTATTTTTTTAAATGAGAACAAACGGACATGATTCTTTGAAGTTTTTGCAGAATTTTCCCCTCACAGAGAAGAAAATTCACGGCAGTTTGAAAGATTTACCGGTGAGTAGTTTTCCGATTAAAAAATAAAGTATGACAGGAAGTCTGCGACGTCGCAAACCGAGTTATGTGATTGCCGACTTACACCGTCGATATATATGAAGAGACTCTAATTTTTCTAGAGTGGGATAGAGTGCCTTTATAGACAGAGTATGGCCATTCGTATCTTTTTACTACAGGAAAACTGTTCCGCATTTTGATTGGTCAACGAGTTTTTAGGCTTCATGATGCTCTTAGGGCCGTAATAAACAAACAAGATGGCGGCTCACCGTAACATCGATGAGAAGCTAAATTTGACAAAAATTTCAATTATGCGGCAGTAACAATTTAAACGAGCATATCTACGAATAGCACACGAAAAACACATGAAAACATTGTTAAATTGCCTTTCACCTTTATCACAGGAGGATGTAAGATGTGCATAACCTCAATCTTGCTTGCTGATAACGGCCATCTTGTTTGTTTATTTACGGCCCTAAGAGCATCGTGTCAGCCTATTCGCTCGCGACCAATGAAAAACCGGAACAGAAATGGCCATACTCTGTCTATAAAGGTACTCTAGAGTGGGATACTGACCGGGAGCTGGTATTCCTCGTCCTTGCCGAGCATGGCTGCGACGGCGAGTCGGTCGAAATTGTCGACGAGGAGGATGCACTTGCGCCGGTGGTGGACGAAGAGGAGCCTGGTGAGAACGTCGATTCCGTCCTTGTAGAAGGCGATCGTCCGGTCGGGGCTCCCGAGGTGGGACTCGTAGCTCGCGAACTCCTCCTTGTTGAACGCCGAGAGCCGCTCGCTCTTGGCCAGGTACCCGTGCGCCCGGAACACCCGTTCCACCTCCGCCCGGAACGTCTCGAGGAACGTCGTCGGGGTTGAGCCGACCACCGACTCCAGGTCTAGAGACACGACCGGGGCGCTAAAACCAAGAATTAAACTTTCAATCGGAACGCGCGGTCAACTTAGAGTACCTGTATAGCGAGAGTTAGAGTCCCTTTATACTGAGAGTCAAGACAATTTGAATCCATTTCTGATTGGTTCCCGTATTTTAGGCCTCCACAGTGTCACAAACGGGAATAAAGATTACATTTTCACCAATTGCAAAGATTATAATCTGGAATGGACCGGGGAATTACGGGTTCGGCAAGGAACAAACGGAATGAGAGGAGGAACGGAGAGAGGCATTTGAGAATGGGCCGATCAAAGATTACGAAAAACGTTCAATTTCTGTAATCTTTATTCCCGTTTGTGACATCCATGAGCCGAATTGTCTTGACTCTCAGCTTAAAGGGGCTCTAATCGGAACGCGCGGTCAACTTAGAGTACCTGTATAGCGAGAGTATGGACAGATCGCTTCATGGAGGGCTTAGGGCCCTAAAGTGCAGCCACCCTTCTAACCAACTTCTATCGCACAAAATTTCACTGCCAGTCTGCAAATTTCGATTCTAACCAAGATGGCTAAGAATGTACATAAATGAGCGTTCTTCCGCAAAAGTGAGTAAATTTGTGCCTCAAATGCGTGCTTTATCAACGATGGTTCGTAAAAATTTTATTAGTAAATCGCTCTGGAATAATTGAAATTCATAGGTTGGCTGCATTTTTCGGCCCTAACTTTATTCCCGGAGGCATCGGTGAAGGCCTGCAGCCCGATTATTGAAACTATGTCAGCCCGGTACGACAAGACATAGCCCTATCTTAACCACGCAATATATCGCAATTCGATGTCTTATCGGGCTGCTTTAAAATTTCAATAATCGGCCCGCTGATGGATTTTCGGAGTTTCAAATCTGTCTATACTCTCGCTGTACAGGTACTCTAGGTCAACTACGCTATCACTGGAAGAAAAAACACATTGGATCTAGTGTCTAGACTCTTAAAAACATCGACAAGAAAAAATACTCTTGATTCAATCACATTTGAGCTTAAATCAAGAACCAAGCCCCTTAATTTGAGCTGATTTCCTTTTGATTTAGGCTTAAATCTGATTGAATCAAGAGTTCTTTCTCTTGTCAATGTTTTTAAGAGTCTGGACTCTAGATCCAATGTGTTTTTTTCCCCCTAGTGATTAGCCCTTTTTTCGGAAATAGTTTACGAGCCCTAATTTAGCCACACAGAAATTTATCTCTCGGCTCCAAAAGTCGATTACTTCCTTAGTAGCAGTGGCTTTTGAGAAAATTTGTAAAAAACCGGTAAATTTTAAGAGACCTTAAAATTTACTCCAAAACCACTTAAAAATTCCATAGAAACACTCTTGAAATATTCGTATCAGGAAACCCTTTTTTGGTCTTTTTTTACATAAAATTGAAGAAAAATTTTAAGAAAATTTTTTTACGTAAATTATAAGTAAAGTTTACGTATTTGTTTTCCAAACTTCCTGCGGGCAAAAACAAGGGAAAAAAGTGGTGAACAGAAAAGTACAAAAGGAAAACCGGGGCTCTAAAACCAGGAGTAGAACTTTCAATGAGCCTGTTTATAAAAACAAAACTGAAAGAAGAGTTCGGTAGATCCGGGGTAGTGAGCAGGGAAAAAATGAAATTGCTGATTTAAAAATTCAATTGCTAAAAAAAGTGACTGCAATGTATCAGTGTAGATTTTACAACACAAAAATGCTACTTTAACCACCCCCGTGCTTAAATTAGTTTTATTGATCTTTACGTAAAAAAGTTAAACGAAAATATTACTTTATTTTAAAAACATATATATTTTTAAAACGTGGCAAATATATTTAAAACCTTTTCCAACCGATGGCATCGATATTGATCTCAAGGAGCCGTATTTTTGTTGTAAAAACTATAGAAAAAGGAATGAAAGAGGGGAAAAACCAGGAATCACACAATCTTTGGTCTTGGCCCATTCGAACATCAATATTTTAGAGTCAAATACGTCTAATTTTGAGCGTTTGGTTGCGCGTATGCAAAGCTGCAGCATGGTAAAAGCACAATATATATTGAAAAAAATTGAATTGCTTTGGAAATCATTAAATTTGACACGACACCTGCTAAATATTTACAAAACATACATTGGGTGTCCCCTTTAATACATATTTTCCCCCCATCAATTTTGATGAGAATAATCCATGCAGAATGTGCAAACATTTCAAAACCATGAGTTAAAAGTAGCTGACTCCGCGAGTTTAAATATTAGAGCCAAACACAGCAGAGCGGCGTGCTGCCAGCACGAAACGCGCATTGGCGCCTACAAACCTAACGGGGATACTTCACGCATTGCGTAATGCGTGAAGTATCCCTGTTAGGTTTGTAGGCGCCAATGCGCGTGTCGCGCTGGACGACCTCGCCCGCTAGCTGCGCCGCGGCGCTTCAAGCAACTATTTCTCAGCAGAAGTGTTGTACAGTATCATACAAAATTGAGGGCGCTCCAACACATTAAATATGACAGTCATCTTTAAGAGCACCGAGCTGTCCTCTCAAAATAAATCAAGATACTACGGCACACAAAGAGAGAGGTTGTCCAAAAACGCACCAAGACCTACCATTCATATTTAATAATCTTTAGCATAATTTTTGATTGCAAATGTAAACTTTATAACACAGAAATGCTACTTTAACCATCTCCGTGGTTAAATTAGCTTCCAAGTGTGGTTAAAGTAGCATTTTTTTTCATTATTAAAATCTACGTTGAAGCGTTGAAGTCACTTTTTCAAGTGATTGAATTGTTAAATCAGCAATTTAATTTCTTTCGTGATGGCATGGAATAAGGTTTCGTTTGGTACATACAACCGAATTATTCGGTTCGCTGAACTGAACTATACTGCCTTGCGAAGGAAGAACGCCTTATGAACCTTCAGGCGTTGCCAAATTTACTGTGATGAAACTCGAATTTCCTAGTGAATTTATGAGTGTTTCTCGTCCAGGTTTTCAGATAATTTGTTTCGCAATTTTACACCAATTTACTGAGAATTTCAAGGAAAATTGCTCACAACTTTCCTCAAGAATAAGTATTTTACCGGAGGAATTTTGATAACTGTCGAATGTTCATACGGCGTGTTTCCTTAGCACGGCAAAATTAGAAGTTCATATAGTTCGGTAAACGGCAACGCTTGAAGGTACATATGGCGTTCTTCCTCACCACAGCAGAATAGGATTCATCGCAAAATGGACTGCATTTTGAAATTTGGAATAAATTCTGGCTCATCTTAAAAAACACTTATGTGCACAGGGAAACGAATGGCACATACGTTGTTTTTAAACCGGGCAAGAATTTATAGTTCCAAATTGCAAAATGCAATGTAGTTGCGTCCTTTTGTCACGTGACAAAAACGAATAAACACTTGGTGTGAAGAAACACGCGGTGTGAATCGCACAGCGAGTGAAGGACGAAAGCCAATGGGGAGCCTTGATTTCGATCCATCGACGTCGATTTATCGAAATCAAGGCTCTCCATTGGCTTTCGTCCCTGACTCGCGGCGATTAATCGCCGTGTGTATCTAGGCCTTCATAATCGATTCTTTAATATAGGTTTAAATTACATAACAATCGATCTATCGCAATTCACGCCACGCCCCTGATGGGGAGAGTACTGACATCTTGGTAATTTTGGAGGTTAGGTCATGGAGCTTTTAGGGCCCAAAAGAACAGCCAACCTATGAACTCAAAGCATCCAGAATAATATTATTACAATTGTTACAATCCGTTGTTTCTAAAGCACGTATTTGACTTACTTTTGCATACATTTCCTTATTTTTGAGGGCATTCATGAACATTTTTGGTCATTTTGATTTGATATTAGAATCTGAAGATTTGCAGTGGCATTTCGTCACCTTCCGGCTGAAGTATTGCAAGCGTCGTGCAAAGTTTAAAAAAGTCTGCAGCCATTTGATTTTTTTTATAGAGAAATTGTTAGTTGAATCCGTTCGAAAATTTCACTGACTTTTATCGGCAGCACAAAGAAAATTCAGTGAAATTTTCGAACAGATTCGTTGAACCATTTTTGTGTAAAAAAATAAAATGGCGGCGGAAATCTTGAAACGTCGCATGACGCTTGCGACATTCCGGACGAAAGTTGACGATTTATCTAGTGTTTTTCTTGTCGAGCGGTTGGCTGTCCTTTTCTGCACCAATGTGCTGGTTACACGCTCAAATTCCCATCAATTTCCGATCAAATGGTGACTGGTGCGCACCACCTACCATCAAATTTCAGCGGCCTGCAAAAATTTGATGGTAGATGATGAAACTGTGGGGCTCATCCTTCATTTGATTTCCACACAACCGTGCTTATTTCATACTTATTTCAATCAACATGCCGTTTTAATTAAGTTTACTCATCAATCTAGATAACTCTTGACCGCCATCTTGGTCATAATTTTGACCGGAATTTGACGGAAATTTGGGCGTGTAACCAGGCCATAAGACCTACATTTCTCGACATGCCCGTTCCCTCCCTACAGAGGTACACAAGAATTATGTGGTCACCTGGATAGATAATCACTGCAGATGGAGGGATGTTTCTTGCAGATGGCGAGCTTGCCGAAGAAGGTGCCTTTTTCCGCCATGTTGAAGGTGAGGTTGGCACCCATGGCGTCGACGGGGATCTGGAAGAAGTGCTTGAGCATGTGGAGGTTGGTGGACTTGCCGAAGTTGGGTGGCGCCACTAGGACGAGCTGCTTGCGGGTGTCCAGAAAGTATTTGATGAACTCCGTTTTATCGACGAACGACTCACGGCCAGCAACCTCCCGAAAGGGCCACCACCCGTCTTCTCTCTCATCTTGGTATATCTTCTGCCGAACAGAGGTTTCAGGTCGTTACAGGGTGGCTTGAAAAGTAAGACAGAAATGAAGGAATGGAAATTTCAGTGAAATATTTCGTGAAATTTCACGAGGCTGTGAAACAGTGTTCGAAACTCACAGGCGCCAACGCGCTAAATACGCCTAAGAAATCGGTCATGGCGCCTAAAAATGGAAGGCTCTGCGCCAGAATGGCCCCTAAAAAATTAACCCCCCCCCCAAAAAAAATTCCAATTTTTCTGTTGGGTGATTTTTCAAAATCGCCCCCAAGTTACAGCTACTAGTACTGTACCTTACTAAAATATCTTGCGTCTAACTTTTCACTAAATGCGCTGTGATATGTAGGCAAAAAGTGAATTTGGCTCCTCAAAAATCTTCAATGGCCCCTAAAAAATCCTCAATGGCCCATAAAAATTGAGCTCGATGCACCACATGGCTTCTGAAACTCGAAGGTGAGTTTCGAACACTGCTGTGAAATATTTCATATTTTTCAGGGACTAGAGTATGCAACCCGCACTCAAACACTCAAAAATAGAGGAAAGCCACAGTTCTTAAATTTTGCGAAACATGAAAAGGAACTGGTATTCTTCAATATCTTTCATAAATTTCTGAAATATCATGAAATAATCCACGTGAAATTTCAAGATTTAATTTTTCGTGAAATTTTTCCCACACTGGGTCGTTAGCCCTCCGTTACAGATAGAGACAATAATTATGTCATAGCCCTGTACTGCCGTGCTAAGGAAGAAGGCCGTATGAACATTCGAGAGTTACCAAATTAGCTCTGATAAAACATGAAACGGATCGTAGCTAAAATTATTAACGATCGGAGGCGTAGTTTCCAGAGTTTAGAACCGGAAATTTTTCCGACGGGGCTTCACGTATGTACATATTCCTATTTGATAAATATATGTTATCTGTCCTAGAAAATTGCATCAATGTCGTATTTCAAAATTCCTCATGCACATATGCTACGTGAATGTCCATTCATCCGTTAAATTGACGACATTTTGCAACACGGTATTACTATTTTAGAAAGTTAGAAACAATATATGTGTCATTAGTTTTCCTGTGCAGGTAAGTGATTTTATGGATGAGCCAGAAATAGTGGTTCTTAACTGCAAATTTTAGACAAAATATTGAGGAGTTTGCAAACGTGGGTAAATAACAGTTTCAAAGTATGTCAACAAGCATCGAAGGTTAGCTTACCGCCAAAGGTCGTAAACTATCAAGTTCTGGTTTTGAGGTGGGAAATGGACAAGCATATTCATCAGGTGGTGCTATAAATGCAGATGTCTGTAAGAAAAAAGAAAACGCATTTAAAATTGAAAATAAATAATGAATGGATGGATGTAAAATAAACTATGCGACATGGATGGATACGAAATGAACTACGCGACATCTCATGGAGAGAAGGGCCATAGGACACAAATGCACATTTTTAGGAGAGGCATTATATAAGCTATATGGGTTTAAAAAACTAATTATATGAGCGGTATAGGTGTAAAACACGGAATAATAAAATTAAGTCTAAAAGAAATGATTTAATTTATTACAGATTTATATGCACATTACATAGGTACAAAGAATGATGCGGAATGGCGTTATAAGGAGTCTACTCATGCTTGAATGTGTCTGATTTTATTGAGATTTCATTTGATATCAGTTCCATGTTGCGCTGGTAAAAAAATATAATTCGAATCAGCATTATAAAATATGAAATTCCCTTAATTGTGAAAAATAAATATATTTATTACAATGTTGCGGTTTGTTTCAAATTTTCAAACTTCAAGCATTAGTTTCAACCTCATGATGGTTGGAATCCCTTTGAATTACATGGAAGTAACAGAGGCTAGCATCCCGCTCAACAGTATATAATGACTTAAACTATACCTAGTTCACAACTATGACACATAATTTAAATGCTTGTTGCTTGCTACATCCTCAAAGCTCTGACACATTGTTCTTCCTCGTGATTTTAGCATTTGGATGTATTTCTGTCAAACGGAACTAAGTACATTATGACGTGAGCCCTGCTATGCAGGTATTCTTATGGGTCTCAGGACGTATGTCTTACTGCACCTAGTTCCGTTTGATAGAAATACGTCCGTTTAAGGGTGAGACTTCGAGGTTTTTATTTTTTTACTAAAAACGTAAACTAATTTGGCAGCTTAATGATGATTTACATACGCCTTGTGCCCATATCAAAATACCTACGGTTTGAAGACAGAGAAACTCATTTGACATTGTTAAGCATAATTACTATGGAGCCCACCATAGAAATATGATTCGTAAAACTGGCTGCTTCCAGGTTGTGAGGTAATGGCCTGCATGGCTCTCAAAAGCACACGAGATTTGTTTTTGGACAAAAATACATCTGGAAAAAGTTCCCTTTTGAAAATAAAACTTCCCAAAATTACGGCCTCCCTAATGACTGTCTCTTGCCAACGCACTCCATTAAAAAATGTAACGTAAATAGAAGATTACCAAGATATGTGAAAATAAATTGAAGGCCCATTGAAATTTATTTAAAAATATAATGTTGTTTCTTGAGATTCACTTACCTGAAGGACAAAGCCGATGTAAAACAGGAACTGTAGCATTTTCCACAAAGAAAAATAAATCAATATCAAGGTTGTTGCCCGAAACAGAGTAAACTTTTAGAAATAGAATGAGCCAGTTCAAAGCACAGAGAGCAATACAAACACAAAGCGAGTTATGATAAGACCACAAATCGACGGTGTAAATCGGAAATCACATGACTCGGTCTGCGACGTCGCAGACTTCCTGTCAAAATTTATTTTTAAAACAGAGAACTACTCAACGGCAATTCTTTGAAACTGCCGTGATTTTCCCTCTCTTCGCGAAGAAAATTCTGCAAAATCGTCAAGGAATGATGTCAATTTATTCTCCTTCAAAAAATAACATGCATGCGGAGATTTTCAGACACCGAAAACGAGATATGTGATTGCGGACTTACACCATCGAAATATTATGCAAGGGCATTTTACAAAGGCAGTCCCACAATGGCCCGGACTGGTGCTGTAACTCAAAAACTGATGAACGGATTGAGCTGATCTTGGGCTCTTTGAATGATAAAATCAAATTGAAGAAATGGACCACTAGACAAGGTACGAATTTCAGCATTCTGATAAATGTCTCTTAACCAAAATTTCACATAGAACACGATGCGCACGACGAAAATTACTGAAATCAACTCCTTACGAAGATATTTAATGATTCTTGATGCGTGAATTCAAACCAACCGCTCATGAAAACTCAATGCTCTATGTGATTCACATCGCGCGCTAAACGTTTATCATGACAGTCTTTGTGATATAAAAATCTGGCAACCTCAATCTTGGCACTTTGGTTCAGCTAGAGCAAATTGCTTACAGTTTGAACAACACACGATGGGAAATGAACATTACTCGATTGAGAAACTTGTTGAAACCGTTTTAGTGCGCGATTTGACTCGCGTTGAGCTTTGAGTTTCTTGTGAGCGGGCAGTTCAAATTCTTCGTAACCAATGTGAAATAAAAACGTTAATATCTTCGTTAGGAGTTGGTTTCAGTCATTTTCGTTGCGCGAATCGTATTTGCGTGAAATTTCGGTTGAGGAACATGTATCAGAATCCTTTAATTCGTACCTTGTCTATTGGTCCATTGAAGCAATTACGCTAAAGAATGCTTACGCTTTATTTGAATGAAATTTGACCGAGTTATGACACTTTAAAAACACGCTGTGAGAAAATACCCAACCGTTTTTTCTATTTGTTTCTTTTCGTTTTACTCATCAAACTTTTCCGGTGATCTCTCCCCATCGAACACAACTTGGCAACAAATGCTGATTGTCTTTTTTGATTCAGAGGGCATGGTTTATCAGCACTTTGTATAACCGATAAAACCACGGTGGACAGCGATTATTATTACAATGTTACGGCGGATTTTCGCACGCACGTCTCGCGAAAACGTCCGCAATTGAAAGCAACCTGGAATTCTGGATGCTGCGCATCCTCACACCTCGAACGCCGCCAGCAATTTTATGTTAAAGAATGAAGTTGAGACCCTCAGGTTCTCAGCGCCCAAGTAGCACTGATCGAGAAAAATAGATATTTTATCGGTTGATTATCGCGATTATATCGGTGGCGATTCATCGCGATATTATCAAATAAAAAGTTGCGATTTATGGCGAATAAATCGCTATGCATCGCAATTATTTGCTCGATAAATTCGCGATCAATTTTTGTCGATGAAATCTAGATTAAATCACCATACCTATATCGCGATTTTTGTTTCGATAATATCGCGATATAGTGCCGGGCGATGAAATCGCGATTTTATTGCAACAAAATCTAGGATAATCGCTCAGATGTTGATGGTCCTGGCGATTTTATCGCTAATAAAATCGCAAAAAATATCGATTTTCTCGTTGAGAAATGCTACTTGGGACAGCCCCGATCCCGCTCATTGCATGCGACTTTTGGTTGCTCTCGCAATTGAAGAAAAAATTTGAATCAAAGGACGCAATCAAGAACGAAGTCCAAGCACTCTTCAAACACATCCCCAAGGAAGATTTCCAGAAGACGATCTTGACAAATGGAAGGAGCGGATGAAAAAATGTATTCAATTTGAAGGCAAATACTTGAGAAAGAAAGAGAAGTACTAGTTGAAAATAATTTTTTATTTAAAAACGGTCGGATAGCGATTGAGAAAGAATAGGAGTGAATTTTAAACCGCTACAGCTATAAAGAAGCCGTGGAGTGAACGTGGCCAAAATGCGATGAGCAACTATTAATACTCCCAAGTAGCTTCCTTTGCCTATCGAGATATTGAAGGCGCACTGGTTGGAACGAGTTAGAAACAAAGCTATTGAAGTATTGAAGCGCTACAGCTATTAATTGACTAAGGAAACATGGCCAAAATGCTGCGAGCAACTTTTGCTGTCCCCAAAGTCCTTACGTTGCCTACCGAGATATTGAAGGCGAACTAGTTTTTACGCAAATCGATCCAAATTTCACGCGGTATTAATATCGAAACTTTGGGAAACAAACTTTAATGATTAATTGAGGGGCTTGGAGAATAAGGCGCTTAAATGCCGGTTTGGCATTTCAAGAAAGACGTGTTTGAAGTTTCGGAATTACATGGACCCTCATGGCGAAAAGAAAGTTCATATTGACTATTTGATGCTTAAATATTGGAATTTGGGAGCGAGTTTTTCATTGAATACGCATTGAGAAATTTGTAAACTTTCTTCCTCGCACTGAAAAAAAAAAAAAAAAAAAAAAAAAAAAAAAAAAAAAACATTGTAGGTAGAGTCCAGACTCTTAAAAACGTCGACAAGAAAAAATACTCTTGATTCAATCAGATTCAAGCTTAAATCAAGAAGCCTCTTAATTTGAGCGGATTCCCTTTTGAATTAAGCTTAAATCTGATTGAATCAAGAGTTCTTTTTCTTGTAAATGTTTTCAAGAGTCTGGACTCTAGATCCAATGCTTTTTTTTCTCCAGTGTGAAATTTCACGGAACATTTGAAATTTTTGAACTTATATCCTCGATTTATGAGCAATGAAATATCGTGTACTATCTTTAATTACACCTTGTCCATTGGACAAGATTCAATTTTCGGGCTCAAAAATTGATATATTTGCTCGGACAGTTTTTTATTTGTGCACTTTTCATTGGCCAAATCAACCACGGGCTAATTGTAATATTGGACCAAAAAGAGTGAACTAATCGTTCAGTGACCATCGATTCCAGGCGATGCAACCTGCTGTGCCAAGGAAAAACGCCGTAAGAACATTCGAGAGTCGCAACTTTCCTTCAATAAAATGTCCATTTTTGACGAATATTATGGATATTTTTCCTCGGATATTTTAAGGTGAAATTGCGAACAAAATTATCTGAAAAATTGGAGGAAAAACTTTTGAAAATTTTTCCGAAAATTTATGATTCATGAAAGGAAATTTGGCAACGCCTGAAGGCTCATACAGCGTTCTCCCTTAGCACGGCAGTAACATACTTCGACACATTTCGATAGTTTCACATAAGTACCAATAGTCAGAGCCCTAGTGGAGATGTTGCATGTGTGAGGAATTTGCGATTTGACTATTGATTCTTATGTAAAAGTTTGCGAGAAACACGATGGTCCCACTGGTTTTCTCTGATATCATCTCCCAAGCTCAAAAAAAGCTCCCAAGTGGAGGCCAAAATGGAGGGCATATCCTACGCTATCTTGAGAGTCCACCTCTACATCAAGACGGACTATCCATGGAGAGATAGGGAGCAAATACATTGACAGGGCTGCGCTGACACTTTATTTGGGGACTCTAAAACTGAAAACACGGCATCACCGCTAATGTATTTGCTGCCTATCTTTGCATGGAGTGGAGAGTTCGTCTTGATGTAGACGTGGACTCTCAGGATAGCGTGGGATATCCTCTCCATTTTGGCCTCAACTTAAGAGCTTTTTTTGAGCCTGCTGTGTGCTGCCAGCACGAAACGCGCATTGGCGCCTACAAACCTAACAGGGATACTTCACGCATTGCGTAATGCGTGAAGTATCCCAGTTAGGTTTGTAGGCGCCAATGCGCGTGTCGCGCCGCGGCGCTTCAAGCAACTATTTCGCAGCAGAAGTGTTGCACAGTATCATACAAAATACATTAGTAGGGTTGCCGTGTTTTCAATTTTAGAGTCCCCAAATAAAGTGGCAGCCCTGTCGATGTATTTCCTCCCTATCTTTGCATGGAGAGTTCGTATTGATAAAGAGATGGACTCGAAGGATATAGCGTGGGATATCCCCCGCCATTTTGGCCTTAACTTGAGAGCTTTTTTTGAGCTTTGGAATTTATTTTCGAGGAAAATAGTGGCACCATCGTGTTTCTTGCGAAGTTTTACCCTAGGAACAGCAGTTAAATCGCAAATTCCTCACACATGCAACATCTCCATTGCGCCAATCGCTGCTTCCGATATCGAGCCGAGTATCGAATCCGTGCAAATTTAATTATCTGTGTACCAGTTGATTATCACTTACCGTCGAAAACAAACGCTTACGTAACCCTCGCGAAACCGAAACTGCAAGTCATATTTAGCAGACATGCAAAGCGGAGTGAGTAATTATCCAGACATTTAAGGCCTTTGTTACATGATCAAAGCGAGGGATTCTCGGTTCTGTTTCCGGCCCTCTCATTGGCCAGTCATCGATGACCCCCGTGTTAGTGATGGCGATATTCTATCGATACTATGGAATATCGATATTTTAGAACAAAATATCGATAGCATTGTATCGATATTTCAACGTCGATGTATCGGTATGTGGAGTGTAGCCAAGTGCTAGAAATAATGTAACATTTTCTTTAAAAAAAAAACTTATATTGTTTTAATCAACTTTGACCGAGGTTTTTCGAAGCAAGCGCTTCGGTCAAAGTTTATTAAGAAAATGTAAGTTTTTTTAAAGAAAATGTTACATTATTTCTAGCACTTAGCTACACTCCACATACCAATATATTCAGTGCTACTACCTTTTTAGACATTGCACTGGAAAAAAAAAAAAAAAAAAAAAANACACACTGGATGTAGAGCCCAGACTCTTGAAAACATTGACAAGAAAAAATACTCTTGATTCAATCAGATTTTTGCTTAAATCAAAACGAAATCCGCTTAATTTAAGAGGCTTGGTTCTTGATTTAACCAAAAATCCGATTGAATCAAGAGTATTTTTTCTTGTCGATGTATTTAAGAGTCTGGACTCCAGATCCAATGTGTTTTTTTTCTCCAGTGTGTGTAATACAATGTTGTACATACAGTGTAATATAATGTGTCAGGCGACCCAAATTTGATGGCCTCAAACGATGGTTGCTTGGGACTGGTTGTTAGGGGCAGAGGGGAGGGGGCGAGACTGAAGCGTAGGACTAGCCCTTGTGGGCTACTTGAAGTATCTAAAAAAAAAAAAAAAAAAAAAAAAAAANAAAAAAAAAAAAAAAAAAAAAAAAAAAAAAAAAAAAAAAAAAAAAAAAATAGGGCAAATCGCAGCAGGGCAAAGCGTTAGTAAAATATCGATTATTAGGTTCGATATTTGTGAATATCGATATTCCGGAGCTCGATATATATCGGGATCGATTTCTCGTCAGAAAAAATCGATATATCGGATATCGATACCAACCGTGAGTATTTTTAGCGTGTGACTCGAGCCCCACGCGGGCCGTGATCTTGACTACGAGATTCGTAATTAAACCCCCTCCATCTGGACCGTCTGCGCGCATCCGCGGGGCTGCGCGTGTGTGTGTGCGTGTCTCGGTGTGAGTGTGTTTTTATTGGATTAGAGTGGTGTCACGAGTGAGCGGGAGCCGAGCAGTTGACTGCGAGCCATTGACCATAGTGAAGTGTTACATCCATCGCCGATCAAGATGTTACGTGAGTTATCCTCGTTGTTTTGCGACTTAACTTTCACGGGGAAAAAAAATTGCTCATTCAACAATTCAATTGCTAAAAACGGTGAGTGCAATGTTTCAACGAAGATTTTACAACAAAAAAAAAATGCTACTTTAACCACATTGTAAACTAATTTAACCACGGGGGTGGTTAAAGTAGCATTTTTTTGTTGTAAAATCTGCGTTGAAACATTGCACTCACTGTTTTTAGAAATTGAATTGTTGAATCAGCAATTTTTTTTCCGTGTTACCCGGGAGACTCACCGGGGGAAAAGATGCTGATTTTACAATCTAGATGTAAAAGTGTTCGAGAACTCACACATGTTTACTTTCTACGTAGATTATTCGTTTCATCATCCAATGTATATTTACTTTCGGTGCATATTAACCTAAAAATAACAATATACAGCCATCGGAGTTAATTTTTTTTTTTGTCTCTCAAAAAATAAAAATGTTAGTGTTCGAAATAGAGAGATCTTATCCTTCAGCACCGAAAAAATAGACGCTGATTTAACAATCTAGATGTAAAAAAAGTGTGCGAGAACTCAAAAAACGCTGAATGGAGAAGTTGCGTGCAATTTTTTTATTGCTTCCTCTGAAAGTGCTTGAAGTGGCGATTTTGCAGTATTTTTTATAATTTTTTTCTGATATGGGAAAAAGTATGAAAAAAGATTTAAAAGTGAGAAAATACACCGCCTAGTGACGTCCTCTGGCGGCATTTCCCATTCAAACACACATATTTTAGCAGATTTGATCATTTTGCCATATCTTCTCCAATAATTGTTCAAATCATGAGCCAAGGGTATCCGTGTTCAGTCAACTCAATAGTTTCCACTTAAACACAAAATTTATCAAGTTTCAGATACCTGCAAATTCTCTAACCGCCATAGCAGTTAGTTTTACATCTTTACATTGCTGAAGTTGCTGCTGTAGCGATTAGTTCAGTGTTTTGTGAGGTCTCGCTCACATTTTTACATCCAGAATGTCAAATCAGCATTTTTTCCGGTGCTGGAGGATCTGTCCGTCCCAAACACTAAAGTTTATATTTCTTGAAAGAGAGAAAAAATTGACTTCGATGGCTGTACGCTGAAAAAAAAATCTCGGTGTATTTACTAAGAAAAGGGTAAAATTACCAAGAATTCAGGGCTCTATTTGGTCCCAGTTTTTTCTTGGTAAAATTACCATTTATGGAATTGGTAATTTTACCGAGAAATCTCGGTAAAATTATTGAACTTTCTCGGTAATTTTACTGGACCTTGGTGAAAACGCCAATATTTTTCGTCGACTGTGGTGGAATTACCGAGATAAAATGGCAAACTTACCGGGGAATTGATTACCAATAAAAGTGGTATTCTTACTTGAAAAAACAGTAAAAATACCGGTTTCTAGGTAAGCTTACCAGTCTGTCTTGGTAAAACTACCAATAATTGGTAAAAAGTGAGATGGTAAAGGTACCAACGGACCTTGGTAAAAACGCCGAGAATTTTTTTTCAGTGTATATTGTTATTTTTAGGTTACTATGCACCGAAAGTAATTACACATTGGGTAATGAAATGATTAATCCACGTAAAAAGTAAACATACTTCGTGTTATCGAACAAATTTAAATGAATTACTATTTCCGGTATACTTGACAACTTTAGCCAAAAAAATTATAAATTATGCTCAGAGGCTAATTTCAGCTGCCCTCCTCCCCCCGCCCGAGGTCTCGTTTGTAACAGTGGCGTGGCGTACTTTGCGATGTATCGATTGTTGTGCCATTTAAACCTATGGTAAAGAATCGATTATTAAGGTGTTCGCTGCGAATACCCTGTTTATCGATCCTTTTCCATAGGTTTAAATGGCGTAACAATCGATATATAGCAAAGCACGCCACGCCACTGGTTTGTAAACCCTAAAATAAAGCTGCAAGACTAATACCGTGAAATACCTACTGTATTCGATCGGAGGTTGAAGGGTTAATTATAGCTTTCGCTTATTTTCAACTATGGTTCAGGTTTAACAAGGTGATAAAATAGCGCTGGGTTCACACTATTAGGGGAGAAAAGACCTATAACGTTTGTGGCCTTTTTACACTGAAAGAAAATTCTCGGCGTTTTTACCAAGGTCCGTTGGTACCTTTACCATCTCACATTTTTCACCAATTATTAGTAATTTTACCAAGACAGACTGGTAAGCTTACCTAGAAACCGGTATTTTTACTGTTTTTTTCAGGTAAGAATACCACTTTTATTGGTAATCGATTCCCGGTAACTTTGCCATTTTATCTCGGTAATTCTACCACTTCGATAAAAACTATTGGCGTTTTTATCGGGGTCCAGTAAAATTACCGAGAATGTCAATAATTTTACCGATATTAAAATTACCAATTCCATAAATAGTAATGTTACCAAGAAAAAACTGGGATCAAATAGAACCCTGAATTCTTAGTAATTTTACCTTTTTCTTAGTAAATACACCGAGATTTTTTTTTTCAGTTTAGACCCAAACGTTGTAGGTCTCTCGGCGTGCCCCCAGCTTCATATTCCAATGAATCTATGCCTCCCCCCGCCCCCCTCATTCTTGTACAAATATCCATTAGAGTTCAAGTTGTTTACTTTGCCTGATTGAAATTTTAGAACTTTTTGGTCTCGCTTTCCTCACAAATTAGTGTTGACCGAGCACTGTTTTACCACCTTGTTGAATACAGTTCGAGCCACATTTTGTAGAATTTTTTTCTTGATCAGGTCTGATAAACGAAATTTTTTGGGGACTAACAGCTAAATTAAGGGTGCTAAGCGTCAAGAAACTTGTCAAACATCATAGTGAAACTTGTAGTTAGGCAAAATGCATTCCATATCTGGATGTTTGCTTATTCACCGATTTTATACCTTACATCATAAAGAAAGTGAATTTGGGATTCACTTCCTCCTTCCTGAAAGGAATATCGATTGCCAAGATGCAAAACTACGTATCTTAATTGCGATGTTGCAAAATGACCGCTACTATTTTAGTTTTTTGACGGGAAACGAGCCAATTTTGTCGCTTGAAATAATACAGAATATCTTGCTGACAGAGAGAAAAAATTACGGAAGTTTTCAAAATATTACGATGACTAGTTTTCCAAGGAAAAAATAAGATAAAAATATGATAAGAAGTCTGCAACGTCACAAATGGAAATACGCGGCTTCGTTTTTAGCCACGGATTTGAAACTTGCAGCGCAGTTTTCTCATTCAAATGAAGTTTTCATGGGTTGAAAATATAAACGGACTGAATTTTTGGGTTTTGCCTCCAAGATATGAGGTCTTGTACATTTTTACCGGCATTGCAATGCTAGATGTTCATTACTGAAAAATGAGGTGCTAATGAACTCTTGCTTTTGATTTTATTCTTAATTGGTAAAATGTATGTTTGGTCCCCTCTCAACCCTTGGGAAAATATTTTTGAAAGACCTTGACTTTTCCCACTCCTGATAATTTTTCAACAGTGAAGCGCGCAGTATTTACAGCAGTAGCTAGGCGTGCGATAATCGCCTATCGATACTATCCCATTTGAATCTATGGTGAAGAATCGATTATTAGGGTGTTCGCTGCGAACGCCCCGATATTAGACATATGCTTGAATGGTATATCAATTGGACTACATTTTGCATTTTGGAACTATGAATTCTAGCCCGGTTTAAAAACAACGTGCCATTAGTTTCCCTATGCAAATAAGTGTTTTTCCAGAAGAGCCAGAATTTATAGTTCCAAATTTCAAAATGCCGTCCAATAATTCATACATCGCGAAGCACGCCACGCCACCCATATGTGCAGAAGATCAATTTTGTAGGCTCAAACGCAAATTTCTAGCTATCCATCACAGTTTCAATAGGTTTGTTAATATTTTGTTGAACAAACTAAAAGAAGATTCAACTTTACCATAAAGGCAGCGCACACTATTGGGGTTTCCCGGGATTGTACTGGAATTTCTGGAGAAAATACTGCCGTGCTAAGGTAGAGCGTTATGAATATTTCAGACGCTGAACAATTTCCCCCGATTTTATACAGGGTGATCCAGGGCTAAACGGCCAGACTGCAGGGTCGTGTTCTACGTGTCAAAATAATAATTTTTTGTTCTATAAAGTTTTTTCCAAAGTGCCTCCTGTCGGAGCTACGGTCCTCCCAAAATTTCGGAAAGTAAATCGTTTTTCCTGAATTTTGGCAACGGTTGAGAATCAAACCTCATGAAAATTTTTACTCCTCTGTACTCATAAATGATCTGAAAAAAATCGAAATCTCAATTTACAACAAAAAAGTCTTATTTTGACCCATAGAACACGCTCCTGCAGTCTGGCCGTTTAACACTGGATCACCCTGTATTTATTTTACGGAAACTTATGAACATAATTTCTTGACATTTCCACATACTTTAAATCAAACCAAGAGTGGAATTGAATCAGTGAGAACGAAAACACACCAACTCGAAAAAATGAAAATAATCAAGACACACACAAAACTGCATATTAGGTGAAGAAGTTAGTCTAAGAAAAATATTTTTGGTGCCTAAAAGGAAGTATTTAAGGAGGCTTTAAATGTCCAAGTTGGCACAGATACAGTAACTTCAATAACCTCCATGAAAATTGTCTGTCCTTAGTGAAAAGAGAGCATTTTCGAGGTACCGAGTTGGTGAGTTTTCGTTCTCACTGATTTAATTCTCTGAAAAATTGGAAGAAAACAATTCCCAGGTTTTTTTTAACAGCTAGTATTTCACTAAGGCGAATTTGGTAAAATCTGAAGGCTCATACAGCGTTCTTCCTGCAGAGCATGGAAGTATGCTGGGGTTTTAAGCAGTGGCGTGGCGTGCTTTGCGATATATCGATTGTTATGCCATTTAAACTAGAGTACCTATATTGAGAGAGTATGGCCACTAGGCCCCATGGAGAGGTTTAGGACCCAAAAATGGCGGTGCGTTGTTTTGGTTTTTGTGGAAGGGAGGGGGGTCATTGCCAACTTTTGACGGTTT